TATACATGTAAGTCCTCCCCAAGAAGGTCATGGTCACAAATGTTAAGAATTGACAATGGTTTACAATGATCAATGGTGACACCCAGAAATTAAACCTTTTCTTCACATTTTTAACACATTCGATCACTGCTTTTTATATGTTCAAGATATATTATGGTAGTCAGGGTCGACTCACACAAATTGTTCCGACAAAAATAGTTCCATCATAATGAGTAGATACATTATTGTTCATGATAGGAAACAAATTGTGTATGTCATAGGTTAAAGAAACCAAAAATAACGTCAAAATATTTTTATAAAATCACTTTCCCCCCGAAATGCAAATAAAAAAAATATCAATATTCCTACGCTCGCTCGCTCCCTCCTCAGTCTTTTTTAACATGTTTGATAACAGAGAATATTTAGGTCATTCTTCGGTTGATATCTTTTCACCGATGAATTGATAATACTTTATCAACAGTTGTATTAAGTTCATGTTTATTGTCCGTTAATTATCATACAATTTCATCTTAAAGAAAACATTAATCATTCTCTGCATGTGCTTTTATTAAATGACCGAATTTTCAATCCCTGGCTGGATTCTGCTGGTGTGTAGACTGTGTAAATTGTATAAAGAGTAATAAACTGAAAACCGTGATTCTGTTGAAGTTCAGAATGTTATTTTACAAAGAATTTGAATTTTATAAGTGAGTTTCGTGACGAATACATAAGTATATTTCAGAAATTTTTCGGCTTAGAAATTCCCGCCGGCCTTGATTTTCCTAACCCATTTTAAACACACTTTGTTACAGGTGCAAATAATAGAACAAAATAATGTTCAGCAGGGATCTAATTTTTATTAATAAGAATCTGTATTCATATGATCTAATTAAGGTCTTCAATCCCTATTAGGAACAAATTCAATAAAATTGAAGACATTACAGATATGTTGGCAGGAATACTCAGTTTATTTAGACATACCTCCCATTTAATTATTACTCTAAGTATGTATAGTGAGATTTGTCCCAATTAATGACCTTGAATTTTGGTAAGAGTTATCTCCCCTTTTTATAAAAATTAAAAAAATAAATTTAAAAAAAATTTAGCCAGTAAAAAATTGTTTTCAATTGTCATTCTATTTTTGATGTTTTAATGCATCTTTCCACCACAGGATTTATTGATATTCAAATTATTTGAATTTTTATTTTGAAAAAAAAACGCTTTCCCCCATAAGCTTCAATGCAATCTTTGTTAATTTACCACTGGTCAATTAATGAAATTTTTGAAAATTTCTCGTGGGCAATCCTTTTCCACTATAACATGGTTTTAAATAATATCAGAGTGTTGTGTACTTGGCGGACATTTAAGGGTAGAGAATTTGGTCCCATTAGGGATGGAAATCCTTAAGAAAAAAGTTTTGTCTGCCATCGTAACTTCTCGGCAAAAAAAAACGTGTTTCTCCGAGCTCGCTAGATGAGTTTGACAACTCCATCGCACTTGTGTAGACCAAGGGTAACTGGTCTTGCGAACACAGGTATGTGTACTGTTTGTTAAGTGACTGTAATGCTACGGACTCACAAAATGTACACCAGTTAAATGACTGCATGGACAGTGCAGTTTTTTAAAGTCATTTAAAAGTTTCAAACATATTTAATCTAACAGTCGAATATTTTTGGCTATAGGGTAACCCATATCTTTTCTTGTATATCAATAAAATCGGAGCTGAAAGTGATGTTTCCTATCGAGAATGTTTGAAATTTTTCTGAATTTGTTATTATACGGTTGTTTGATTCAAGCTTTGTTCTTCTAATTCTTTCATAATTTTGATAAAATCATAATCTGAACGAGACAATGGATTGTCATCAGCATAATTATACAACATGCCAAAGCTAAAACTGTCATTTTGAAATATGTTGAAAACAACAGGGCGTAAAACAAAACATAAAGAACCTTGATAAATACCCTTTTACATATCTTAAATGTGCTAAATATACTCCCTACTCTTATACAATGTTTCGTATCAAATAGATAACTCTGTATGGGCGATATGAGTGATGGAGTAGATCTGAGAGGCCATACATTTTTATTTTTAACATCAGCAGCAGGTCATGTTGCAAGCAATCAAAGGCCTTTGAAAGATCCATAAACACAACAGCAGTATAACCGCTACAATCGATGACTTTTTTCTAGTCTTCGATGATTTGCATTTAAACAGCATTACATCCATAACCTGGTCTAAATACTAATTGACAAGGATGGAATATATTTTCCAAAGAAATTCATCAACTGAGTATATATTGCCTCTCAAAAGTCTTTAATTTGAAATTGTTAGAAGAATGCTTACATGTATATAGTCTCCTACTTCTATCAGAATAATTTTCTTATGAAGTGGAACAATCTGTGGCTTTTTGAGTTGTTTTGGACATTCCCATTGTTTAAATAATTTATTAATGTACACGTTTAATTTTTTTCTGTTCACTTTAGTAGGATTTCAAAGTATTTTAACAGAGATACCATCTTTTCCCTTTGCTTTTTAAACCCATTTTTATTTATTTACTATTCAACAAAACCAGTCTGTATTTTTTCGGATTGCTTTTTATTTTCTATAGGTACATTTTCCAAAATTGCTTTAATGTTTGGATGATTGTGATCAACTGTATTGCTTTTATCCCCATGTCTTTAGCAACATTTACAAAGTAGTCATAAAAAGTTTCTGTTACACCTGTTTGGATGTTCAAATTTCTCCATCCTTACTAAGTATACTCCCTAACATTACTTTCCAAATGACTTCCTGCATTTGTCAGGAATAGCTTTATAGTTGGCCAGAATTTTTATCTATAAGTTCCCATAAACAGCTCTCTAACAAATAATTTCTTACTGAATAAATTCTGGGTTTATTCACTTAATTTTTTCACTTAATTTCTTTGCCTTCTGTTTATTTTCCAAATTTCAGTTGGGATAATTGTTCTATTTGTTAAAACATTTTAATAGATAGCTTTCCTTAATTCTTTATTCATAAAAGGTGGTGATTTGTGCAATTTCTCCTTTTTTCACTTGTTTATACTTTTCAATAACCTCCATGTAGAATGTTTCAATTTTTTTATATTCTATTTATATAATGTTTTGATCAATTAGAAGTCAAAAGTCATTTTTCTCAAAGTCGTTTACGACATTTCCATGATTTAAATTTTTGAAACTTCTGTTTGTTACAAAAGAACTAGGTATGGATGCAGATAAGATATTTCTACTCAATAAACTGTGAAATCACAAATTTTCGTGGAGGTTTGATTTCGCTATTTTCAAGAAATGGAGAGACCCACGAATATATGACCACCACGAAATGTAAAATTATATACTAGTATGCATTATTACTTAACACTTCTCCAACTACAAAATTAAATTCCCAAACATCAGTAAATTTTTCTCAACCCTCGAAAGTTTGACCCCACTATAATATGTGATTTTACAGTAAAAATATAAGACGTTAACTAAAATAATAATGACAGAAGTCCAAACACTTTACGAACAACACTTGTAATTTCATTATTACCGTGCATGACTGTATGCAATTAAGATATGTACTTTCCTTGTGTTGAACAGATTTTTGAAAATGCAAAACATGTGACGTTTACTATCCTGTAATGTGAAAACAACAAACAGCGATCGTTCTGAAAAAAAAAACAACACAACTTTATAAGCAATTGGAAAAGACCTTTTAAACCAAGTTCCCTAGTCGCAGTAATATCTGAGATTTAATCTACTTTTCAAATGCTTATTACATCCGTTATTAATATATTTTATTTGTGCTTCTACAATTTTCTCTCTTTATTGATGGTGAAAACAAGACTATCGGCAAGCTGAGCTATTTCTACCTTCGATTTGTAAAAATTGTCTTTGAAAATTCCTATATAATGTTTTCTCTTTTCTATTATCCCAGATAGTATATTTTGGGGCATACACTTTGAAGTAGATATTGGACACTGCATTTTCTGTCGTATCTTTTTTTCTTTTGATATAGACCAATATTCAGCTATGAATTAAATATTGAAATTTCTGCATGATCAGTTGCAAACAACAATGAAATAAATATAGTTGATTGCAACTGATCATGTAGAAATTTATTTATTGTATGAAATCGTTAAACAACATTACAAAGAACACAAAAACTCATCGATATCAAAATGCATATAATTAGAAATTCAATGCTATTTTTTTTAATTTATGAAGTGGACATTAACATTATTTCTCTTTTGAGTTATGCAGAAATCTTTTCTATGAACAGTTGCCCTTCAATGAAAAGATTTTCAAAATAAGAACATGTATATTCCGTTCTGTTAAAAAGTTTCTTTCTTAGATTATACTCTTTTAAAAGCTGTGTTGAATGTTGAAAAAAAATCTTCATTAACCAAATTCAGATTCAATAGCTACTTTCTCCTGTCGAAGATATTCTGATCCATATCTTATCTATATAGAGAATTTCAATTTATAAATTATGATATATATATTTAAATACATCAAGATAATTAGAAACTATGTATAGGTTACATCATAGATGCCGAGTAGTATTGATTATATCGTTTTCATGGGGTGTGGAAATCGAGGACTTCGAGCGCCCGAGATTTACACGCCCCATTGAAAAAGATACAACCAATAAATGAGGCAATCTATGAAAGGAACTTGTCGCATGTCTGATGACGTAAATTTTATTAAGAGTGCCAAAATTCAATAAAAAAAATGACCTGATTTCTGCCTCCTGCAGTGATATATAAAGAGGCGTTTAAAGTAATTCAAGAGCTTCAATTTATATTTGAATGTTTAAATAAATATTACGAAAATTGTGATATTTGCTTAAACGTTTTAAATGTAAACATCTAATTTTTAATATAACTCACGTTCGAAAGAGATTTATCCTTTTTTAACCCGTTTAAGATCAAAGAGTACATTTGTGTGGTACATGTATGGCTGCCCTGCTTCTGAATTGCTTGTACAGCGTTGTTGTTGTAATGATGATTTTCATGGTGTATTGGTTGAAGGTCCCATTGTTTGTTTGTGTTGCACTATCTATAACAAAATATACGCTTTTGATGAAGATGGTAGTTACAAGCAAATTCTATTGGTAAAAAGGTTAATTAATATCAAAAGGAAAGTGAAAAGACCTGTTACAGTATTTACGTTTTCCTATTTCCCATAATTAATTTTATAGCCTTTTTGATATAATTTTATGTATCTAATTTTTCCTGGCAGACAAACTATCTACAAATTACTATTTGAACACCTGCACCTTAAAGTGCTATACAAACACCGTTCACTATAGCTGCTATGGTTCCACCACTGAAAAGAAAAACAATTAGTGAAAAAGTCTCTGAATCTTTGTGTATTTGGATTGTTAAAGCAAATCTCTATTCTCTAAATAAACTTGAAGTATTCTTTTAAAATATCAATAAAATATTTCTTATCTCAGAGTTTCAACTGTTAAAAATCCTAATTTATTTTACTCACGTAAACAAAGGAAAACTGTCATTAACTACCGGTATGACACAGAATTTAAAAATATTCATAGAATTACTAGGAGATGTCGAAGTATAATTTACACAAGGAGCCTGTAGATAGGTCTATTGCCTTCAAGATTGATTAACTACTTTTCTAATCGAGAAAAGAAAGAAAATTAGAGAATAAAATGGAAGTTAGTTGGAGAAAGAAATACACCACACCTTCACCGTATGATTCGGTTATGATTAACAAAGAAACAGAAAGAAGAAAAACCCAATACCCTGAGCTTTGAAATTCTAAATTTTTTTTATCGATTTCGGGAAAGAATGTAAATTCTTTTTAAACGGATACTGAGCTGGTTATTGATTTAAAAAAAAAGAATCCAGTTACAGAAGTGATTTAATTGTAATTCCTACAATAAGGAATCCTGTAGCCCTTTTCACAAAAAATCTTACGACTAAGATTATTTTTTTCCAATTTTTCCATATGTTCCTAAATTGTAGTAGGTAACAAAAAATCTTATATTTTTATTACATTACAGTAAACTGTGAATTATTCGTCTGAAATAATAATTTTCTTTTTTAACCAAAGAATTATCAGAGGTGTCAAATTTTAATCTTAGTCGTAAGAATTTTTGTGAAAAGGGCTACTGGGTGGTTTGGGTTATTCATTATTTTAAAATAAAAAAATGTCCTTTTTGTATTTTGCGTGTAAAGAACTACGCACACTAACTCGAGATTCCCATCCATATTTTTCATTTCATTTTTTTTAATTTAATTCAATTTTAATAGGAATTTGGCCTAAAAATCTTCGGTGAATACAAACAACAAATCAATGGTAAATGATTAATTATTTTAATACTAGCGCTAAATCGTAAATTATCCCTTATTCTAGGTCCTGGAAAAAGGATATTTTTGTTTCACGGGGGATGTTTTTAAAATATTTTCCGTTTTCTGTTGATTTTCATAGTGAAAAACACAGGGTTTACCGAAATTTTTAGAGTTATCTCTCTTTATTTTCCCAAACAAGCAATGTTTTATGAAAATCCATAGAAATATCTATAAAAATACTGAAAATCACTTAAACATGTTAACTTTTGTTAAATAACTTAAGAGATAGGCGGCAGAACAATGCTATCGTTTGCACTTCTTTCACATTGTATTTTTCGATCCTATTTCTGTGATTCTTTTCCTGTTCTGGGGCATTCATCAATTGTATTTTGTGAATTCATAGATATATTTCGTAAAGGATATTGTTTTTTTCTCGCAGTATGAGATGCAGCATCAAAATTTGCTTAAGGGCGTTTAAAATATCACAAACACACATTGTTCTGAAAAAGTCCTACTGGCAGCGGTAACTTTACATTTCTGATTTTTTTTAAAAATTGTGTCGGTAAAAATTGTCTACTTAAATATTTTTTAATTTCAATATGAATACTATAGACAGGATCATCCATCATCTGCTTTTAGATATTATGTTAAAAATTAAATTGGTACACAGGTGATAATTTCTTTTTAGGAATTCTTTAAAATGTCTGGTTACTTACTTGCAGGTTAATTATATTAATTCATATTAATGTTGACATTGAAAATGAATACCAGGGTCTATACACTTCATCTCAAATATCCTGATTTTAAAACAATTATACAAAGAGAAACCTTGCGATGAAACAACCATGCACATCTTATTACCATTTATAAAGTATGCAGAGTTCCACAGCACATGTGTTTTACATATGGGTATATTTTGTCACCTTAAGGAAAATTATGCAAACAATATCGAAGTATTTAGAACCTTTCAGGGATAAGGGATGATATTTATCTAATCTGATTTAATATAAAGACACTTTTATGAGGACGAAACTCTTCAAAGTCTGATTCTGACCTTAAAATCGTGCTTTTTCAAAAAAATATTCTCAATTTAAATCATCTACTCAAACAAAATGAAATTACTTCCAAAACCAAAAAAGCTGAAAGATTGAGGCAAATTAAAATAAATGGTTTTATGTGATGCATAAATACAATATATCATGAATAAATTTGAACACTCTGTTTAATTTTTTCGCACAAATTACTTACGAAGTTGTGTTTTTTTTTCGATAACGATTTATAAATTAAGTATCAAAATGGGCAAAGAATGTCAGATGGTGTTTTTCCTACTATTCCACAAAAAAGTGACCTTCGCATACATGTGTTTATGCAATATACTTGATGTTTTTAATGGAGAAAGAAAGAGAGTTCTATTCAAAATGAAGCATGTATTGCTAACAAAGAAATAAAAAGAAAGAAACCACAATTCAATTAGATGAATCTTTATATTTATTTTTGATATCAATCAAGCAAAAATTGTTACATACCAAAATTTAAATAAATTAAATTCTTTTTTTCGACTCACAGGAGGGATTTTGTCACAAACAGAATTGCTATTGATCAAGTACCTACCCGTGGATAATCTCACGGGTTTTTGCTCTGACATAAATATTGAAATACGTCTGCATTTAAGTATACAGTAATTTTTTTCCTGGTATAAAATGTTAAAAAAATTAGAAATAAACAAAAAACATATCGATTTTAACTTTGATTTTTTTTATATCCCAAGCTTATTTTATAAAAATGTATCGAACTGACATTAATATTATTCTATTTGAAGTTATGTGTAACTTTTTCTCTTATATAAGTGTCCTTTAATGAAGAGTCGTTTAAAAAATTTGTTCCCTTTTTCACAATAAAGTTCTTTCTTCAGACTATTTTCTTCTTAAATGCGTGCTGAACGTTAAAAAGTATTTATTATCCAAATTTAATTCTGAATGCTTGTTTATATATAAGTAAAATGCCAGATGCATCTCGTTCATTTATCTGTGTACAGAGAATTTATACATATTATAAATTTATCAAATTTTCAAGATTAAGATTTGTTACAATTGAAAATATCTTTCTCATAAATTAAGATGTTTTTTAAAAATACCGATTTTTTGTTTTACTTGGAACCTATTTACCTCACGTTCAAAAGATATTTCGCCTTTTTTTTTAAACCGTATCAGATCAAAGGGTACATTTGTACTGTATGGTTGTACTGCTTTCTCAACTGCCTGTACAGCGTTGTTGTAATGGTGATTTTCACAGTTAAATTGGTTAATGGTCCCATTGTTTGTTTGTGTTAACTATCTAAATAAAGATGTTATATTTGTGTATTTTTACAGGACGTAGAAATTCATTATTTTTTAAAAATGAAAGAGAGAGAGACTGATTAATCGTTTGTTTGTATGTAGTTTAACGTCCCTCCAGAAAATTTTTCACTCTTATGGAGAGGTAGATCGGAGAGCTGCAATTTTTGTCCTATACCCGGCTTTAGGGCCATTTAGCAGTAAGGGACCTTTTTCGTGACAGCACCTACTGCGATACGAGGACCTCGGTTTATAGTCTCATTTGTAGGGCCGGTATCCATGCCTTACAGTGGGATTGGCAGTCCCTGCCGTAAGGATAAACTCCTTACTTCGCAACTCTAGAAATTATCACTCTAACCACTGCGTCACACGGGCGATTAGAGGTAGAAAGGGCCGTTCATCCTTCCATCCCCATGTTGCCTCGTCAAACCTGTTCCTGTCCCTGGCCAAACACCCGACACTAGAATTTAAGTCATGGAAAGTCTTGTAATGACCCCTTCCTCTTTTTATATAGTATACTAAATAAATCTCTCTTACTTGAGTGGAAAAAAGAACATTATATTCAGAATATTGCGTGAGTTGTCCTACTCCTTGCAGTTTTGAATGTAAATTTTATTTTCTCTCTTGAAAATGTTTATTGCATGTATGGGCGGCATACATCAAACCTATTGAAACAGAATTGTATAAGGAACCCCCCCCCCCCACTTCTTACAGAAATTTCTGGGGGGTTCGACAAAAATTTCTTATCGTCTTTGTTTCTCATAATGCTCCATTTTCTTTTGCCATTACGACTTATATTTACTAGTATTTTTTTTCTATACTGCACAATTTATAGATTTAAATGCAAAATTAATATGTCAATCCCGATTCCCTTATGTTTGGGTAACTTAGCAAATGTAAACAAACAACTTTACATGTCTGCTTACTCAATTTATGTATAAATTTCATCGTTGAATAAAACAATTATTGGTGTGTTGCTTTCAAAACGAAAAATTTCCACTAAAATAAAAACAATCGCCTCGCCTCGATAAATCATAACTAAAAATGGTACATTTTTTTTCGAAAAACTTTAATTGTATAAAGGCTAATGAGATTAACATGTATATCATCGATTTATTCCAAATTTAGCTCAGAGGGAATTTTGAGGGGGGTATCTTTCTTTATTCTAACTTTAAAAGGATTTAAAATGGGATATATTGCATTGGGGGGGGGGGGGATTTTTCTTTACATTATATAGATATTTTGAAGGTGATGTCACTTTTACTACGGGCAAAAGGTCATTTTCCGACGTCGAAGAATGACCACAGGTCGGTATTCTATGGGGTTAACATTCTTTACAGCGGTCATTCGGAAAATGGCCGTCAAAATCGCCAGCAAATGCCCTATCTTCAAACAATTTGTATATCATTTCTCTACTGACACCCCTTATGTCACCCTTCAAAGACACACTACGCACCCACTCGCAAAATTTTCAGGTTTGCTGAATGACAATGGTAAAGGTTAAATTAACTATTGAAATGAAAGTTACAAGACAAGAAGGTTTATATTATTTTAATCTTATGAATTTGCCATTTTGATATACCTTGTTACAAAGGTTACATATGAATTTGCTTTACGACAAAAAAAATCACATTATAGTTTTGTTTTTGTTTTGTACCTGATTTTTCGATGCAGACAAACTTTCTACAAAGTATGATTCCACCACCTGTACCACAAATCGCAACAAGAACACCGATCACAATACCTGCAATGCTTCCTCCACTGAAAAAAAAATCTTGGTTGTGAACAAATTCTTTTATGGAAATATCCCTTCAGATGAACTTTAAATAACCTTTATAATGTTAAACAAAATATTTCTTACCTCAAAGATTCAACTGGAAGATAAAAATATAAAAGTATTTGTTGATGTAAAATTTTCTCATCACTATTCTCAAGAATTTAAAAATATACATAAACTAACTTACCACTGGGAGTTGTCAAGGTATTATTCTGACAAGGAAAGATGCAGGTAGATTCAGTTCCTTCAAAAGTAATGAACTACTTTTTTCTTATTTAGAAAAGGAGGAAAACAATGAAAAGATTACAATTAATGGAGAAAAAACATAGTCCTTACCCATTCCTACTGAATCAGCCATGTCTAACAAAGAAACCGAAAGCAGGAAAATCCAACTCTTTCGTGATTGACTTTTGATTTATTTATCCTATCGATTCCGAGAAAGACACTGAATTCTTTTCATGCTTAACAGGTTATCGAGTTTAAAGTCAGGAATGACATTCATAAAATCTATTTTTATATATAACTTGAATGTCATCGGCAGTTGTAAGAAGATAAGAAATGCTTAATGTTTTCATGAATATAAAAATGATAGTGAGATACAGAAAAGAATGAAAAAACATGCTAAAACATTTCCTAAGGAACTCTTGTTTCGCAATTGACTTAGATATATTTATTAAGTGGTAAGATACACATATGTAACATATGTAATGTTGATGGCATAGATAGCTATAATTATATATCATTTTTGCGTAATGTAATTTCAGAAAACAAAATACCTCCATCACAAACGAGTGTGCGTTGTTGTGGTGACTTACCAAGAGTGCGCAGGACTATTATTCATAAAGATACTTGACATTTGTGCTAAAATGCACATTTATGTATAAAAGAAATTATCAGTTAAAAAAAGAATTTCATAAGTCATACATGTATGCATATAAACTTCACGTTCAATTCTTAGTCAAGTAAATTAGATTGCTTTAGTAAAGCCAGGTTTCCCAAATTTGGAAACCCGATGGAAACATATGGGAATCGTGACATCAGTAGTTTCCATATAGTTTCCATTTTATGGAAACCACATAGTGGTTTCCACATAGATTCCCGACATGGAAACAATCAACCTGTGGTTTCCCGTAAGTTTCCCAAGATAGGAAACCATGGAAACATACCCCGGTGGTTTCCACATAGATTCCCGACATGGAAACAATCAACCTGTGGTTTCCCGTAAGTTTCCCAAGATAGGAAACCATGGAAACATGCCCCGGTGGTTTCCATATAGATTCCCGATATGGAAACAATCAACCTGTGGTTTCCCGTAAGTTTCCCAAGATAGGAAACCATGTAAACATGCCTCAGTGGTTTCCATACAGATTCCCGACATGGAAGCCACCAATGTGTAGTTTTCCCCATGTTTCCCAGGCAGGGAAACTTTGAAAGTATATCTCAATACTAACCAACCTACCTTTTATTTTACAAAAAGTTAAATATTTAATTATGTTACCATATTTTTACCAATTATAGAAATATTTCAAAAGTGTTTACATGCTGTATCAAAATAATTAACTTCAAACAGTTAAAATAACTAGATGTGTATTTCTGTGTGATTAATTTAATATTTCAGCACCATGAACGCAATTCAATTTTAATTTTATTTTATTTAACTGAATTTTATTTTTTAATTTAATTTAATTTTGAATTTGATTTATCACATAAGTTTTGGTAAACTCGTATAGAATGCGTGAAGTGGAATAGGAAAAAGTAAGTGCATGCAGTTATGTAGAAATCAATCATTTCCGATCCCACTTTCTTGAAGCTGTCTATGATGAATGTTCCTTTGAAAAAATGGAAGAGCTAAGGAAGGGTACATTTAATGAAATTATTTACAGAAAAGGTTTACTAAAAAGATCGATTAAAAAGTAAATAAAGAAATATGTCAAGTTACGATTACTGATTAAGGACAGGTGAGACGTTCCTCAATAAAATAATTAATTTTTTTCCCAATATTTTGCAATTGACATTGAAGAATTATTTTTACATAATTACATGTATTCACAAGACATCAAGGTACCTTACCAGGCATTTGTGTTAGATATCAGAGGTTGGCATTTCTTATATACCGGGGTAATTGGTCAGGAAAAAAATACTTCAATTGGTTTGTCAAAATTACATTTTTAGTGTTTCAAGTTTTTAAATACGAGTTTAGAAATTGATAAAGATTTTGTTTTAATATGAATTAATATATTAATATTAACTGGTCAGATAAGAATCATTCATCGAATTGGCTTGGGGCTGAGTATTATCATACTAGTATTTTACTATTAATAGTGAATATTGTCTTTTTTAATTTATTAAATCATTGTTTTTATTATTGGGGTGGGTGGGTTGCTTTTTATTTTTTTTCTTGAGAAGCCCCCCCCCCCCCCCCCCCCCGAAAAAACGCTTTTGAAAAAGTCACTATGATCGGCCTGTGTAATTAGGGACACCTGTCCTCACGTGCCATATCAGGTGGAGACACGTGCCGCGAAGACACCTGTCACTGTGTATTTTTTGTATATTCTATGTGAATTGAGACGGTTTTGTACCTAAAGGGAACAATGGGCTGTTGTCGAGCATGTACACACACAGTCTCCGACCGAAAATTCTTTTAAATTAAGATGATGATTCGTGTTTCTTTTATCATTTAAAAAATTGTATATTCCATAAATAAAGTTATACAAGAGAACATATTTATAAAATAACCTACATTTAAGAAGTTCAATGAAAGAACAAACTATTTAGAATTTTTATTTCAATTTTCATTACTGATTTAAAATAAAACTCTCCTCTTTAGAAATTAAATAATTTTCTATAGGTATTGAATAGATCTTAATTCTCGTCGTGTATAATTATATTAAATCAGAATGACGTTAATAGATCAATGTGAAATCAAAACTGTATTTAATATTGTTGATGGGTTTTTGTGTGAAATTTGTAATCTAACGTACTACAAAGACATTTATTAGATAAATGTTTATAATATAATTCATCACATAAAACGTTTTTTCCCCTTTTTTGTTTAAATATGTACGCAGATCCCCGTGTAGTAAACGCCTGCACTTTTCGCATGAAATTACAATGTAGGGTCCTAAATGCACATACATTATATTTAACAAACTAAAAAATTTTCAGCCATTTTTTTTTTCTCCAAAGGCCATTGCTCTAGATAAAGAAAAGTCTATAATATTTTGCATGATTTTGTTTTCCTTAAGAACAATGGCTTTTATAGAAGTGCATGCTAAGGCAATCTATTAAAAGAATTAATTGTATAATATATTCATTGTATAATTGTCACGATTGTATTTTTGTGCAGTTTTTGTTGATTTCATTCTATAAAGGTATGAAGTTTGTCAATACTTCAACAAACATTTCTTTATCTATGGTGTACACTACTTTATTTTTATTCGCCGACATGCTACTCTTTTTATAAAAAAAAACTTGCGTGACTAATAGACTCGATCTTCAGGCCTGTAGGAAAGTAATTTCCGAAAGAGTAATAAACCAACAGGGATTTTATTTTTACTAGCATACCTTACCAGATTTCTTAACGAAAAAAAAAAAAACATTAAAAGAAATGCAGGGCGGGACCAGCTAAAGCTGTATGCATAAGTACAGCCCTGCACATCAACGAGTATAGATGAATTTCGACATCTTTCCCATGACTTCACTTATACCAATCACGACTAAAATATTGAATTAAAATACTGTTATATTTCCTGCCTTTGATGAGATGTTAGTTTTGTTCCACCTAGAGATATAACTCTCCTAAGAAAAAGGTTTTCAACATTCTGATTCATTTAACAATTTTACGTGTTAAAATGATGTGGGAAATTCTTTTAGCTAAAGGCCAAGGAGTTTAAACATGTTAAAGTACAATGTATATGTAGCAATTAGAGAAAAGTCTAGCAGGTCCACCAGTAATATTGATAGCAGGCTCAAAATCTAATTAAACCCCGAAAAGGAGGGAGTTCGATTAGTAATTTAACCCCCCCCCCACCCCCACCCCCCAAAAAAACCACAACAATTTATTAGCAATGAATTAAACACCGAACTTTTCAATCATCACTATTGAAATAAAAAAACTGTTCTTGATGATCATATTATAATTGTAGCTTATTTTCATGCCTTTTAGGATTCCTGTGGAAAGTTCACAATAAAAAAAAATTGTGCTTTTAAAAATGGTTTGACATTATTATAAATTCATAATCATACATGTAACAGTTAAAAGAAGCGGGGAGGTGTGTGTGTGTGTGGGGGGGGGGGGGGGGGTACTTTCAGCAAGGACGGCCACTACCAACAACCAAGCCCCGAAACCCATATCCCGAAGGCAAATAAGTTGAGGTGTCAAGCAAGAAACATTTTTTTTTCTGCTCTTGCCTCATGTATTTAACCGCTTTTTTTCTAAATATACTAGGCCTACACATCATATCGGCAAAAATATTTAGGAGCCCCTCTTTTTATTCCATGAAAAGGGGAAAACTTAATTAAATTCTAATATAAGATCTCATAATCACACTTAATCATAGTGAATGTAAACAGATTATATTTCCCATCCTGCATCGCTCTGTAGGCGCTTTATTTCATTGGTCAATTTACCGAGGCGCCATTTTTGGAGGATCGAGAAGGACGAAGAAGAAGGTGTAAGCAGCTGGTAAATGTGAAAAGTTAAGATGGTTTCACCACCCAGTGTCTTTAAGACTGTGATAAATGCAATGGCCAACGATGAAGGATTAGTGTACGTATATTTTTGTTAACTTTTTACGGTAAATAGTTGTAATATTTGGCAACAACAAATCTTCACTATCGGAGGCAACTTTTGTTCTGACGCCATTTTGAAAAGTTGGATACCTAAGTTTTAAATTGTTAAGTGTATATATTGCAGAGAGAGAGAGAGAGAGAGAGAGAGAGAGAGAGAGAGAGAAGAGAAATTTGAGACGTTGATATAGCATAACTTATATTATGAAGGCACCGTGCATGTGCATGCTGTATGTTGTAAAATTTCAACGTTTCGCCTTTTATCATGTTTATTAAAATGTATGCTCCATGTGTATGTTCTCTCTCTATATATAAATGAATACTTTTCGGAATTTAAAAAAAAAATATTTTAAACCCCGCTCAAATTATCCGGATGATAATAGTTACACCGAACATGGTTTCGTAATTAAATTCAGACTGTATAACATCCGGTTTGAATACCACATGTGTTTTCTGACTTTTGGGAGCCAACTCTTGTTTTTTTTTGGAACTTACGACTTATGGCAAGGTATAAATTAAATATTTTTGGTTCAAAACTTTGATAAAAGCATCGATATTTTTACAAAAAGT